TTAAGGGCTGACCTTGACCTTCAGGAGAGACTGGAAGCCAAGACTCCTCCTTCTCTTTCAGGCTACTGGAGTCTAATTTTTTATTTCCTTGCTTCTCATCTTCAATCCTGGGAGGTGCCATCCATTCCAACTATCCTAAGTGTGATGGTTAATCATCACTGTCAACTTGAATGGACCTAAGTCACCTAGAAGACACATCTCTGGGTGTCTGTGAAGCATTTATAGAGGTATCTAACTGAACTGGGAAGACCCACCCTGGATGTGGGAAACAAAACCTAAGGTTTGGGGTCCCAGACAGAATAAAATGGAGAAAGTGAGCTGAGCACCAGCATCCATCTTTCTCTGCTTCCTGACTGTGGATGCCACGTGACCAGCCACCTCATGCTCCTGTCCCCGTGCCATCTCCACCATGATAGACTGTTCCCTCCATCTGTGAATCACAATGAACCCTTAAGTTAGTTAAATTCTCTGATGTATTTTCCTGGGACAATGGGAAAAGCACCTAACACACTAAGGTTCTAGGGTCCCCAGCCAGTAGAATGCTCTCACACAGCTTGCAAGCCACAACATGCAGTCTAACCCCACTTTCTCCACAGCCCCACTGTGGAATCCATAAGCAATTCCCAATCTAATCTGGGATGTCAGGTTCTGTTATGGTTCAAATCTGGAATGTCCCTCACAGGTTCTAATCTGGAATGTCCCTCACAGGTTTACCTTTGAACATGTGGTCCCATTTGGTTGTAGCCTAGTTAGTACTAGAGACTAGCTGGGCATGGGGCCTTGAAGAATACATATAGCCTAGGCCTGGTCTAGTTTAGACTTTGCCATTTTTTCTTTTTAAAGATTTAGTTTATTTTAAAGTAGTGTGTGTGTGTGTGTGTGTGTGTGTGTGTGTGTGTGTGTGTGTGTGATGTGCACATGTGTGAAGGTGCCTGAAGAAACCAGGAGACGGATCCTGGTTTGGGGTTACTGATCTTTCTGATCTGCCAAGATTTGAGCCAAGTTGTACTGTGAGCACCCACTGCTGTGATAGAGTCACAGTCTTTTGGAGATGCAGCCGTCACCACGCCTTCCCTGGCCCTATGGACTGCTTCCTCTGAGCTTAAATAAATCCTTTCTCTTTCGAATTGCTTCTGTCAGGTACTTGGCCACTGTGACAAGAAAAGTAAATATTACAGATCAGGACATGGCAGCAAACAGTAGTGATGGGTCCAGGCTTCATGATTCAAAGAGCTGTATGCAGGGCCCCTGCCCTGGCTTCTGTTCTGGGTCTTTTTGATATGAATAGCTTCGACCACACCTCCTGCTGCCATCAGCTAAGCCACACACTGGGCTTTCCCTGCAAACCACAAATAAGTAAACTAAATCTTTCCTCTCTTGTTTCTGTCAGGTATTGAAAGGGTAGTGATGCAGACGTAGCTGATATGACCCCTGCCCCATCTCTTGCTCTTCTGCCATCTGACTTGGGATGGTGGGACAAGACCTTTGACCCTGGATTTCCTAGCATTCACAACTATTAGAATTACAGATCTGTTCACTTTCTCTTTATCTCTCTCTCTCTTTTCCCCTTCCCCCTTACTCCTAATCATCCTCATTTTTTTTATTTTCATCTTCATGTGATGTGTATGTGTCTGGTATGTGTCTGTGTATGTCTTTGTCTGTGGTGTGTGTGTGTGTGTGTGTGTGTGTGTGTGTGTGTGTGTGTGTATCTGTGGTGTGTTTGCTACGGTGTGCATGTGGAGGTCTGAGGACAATTTGTGAGAGTGTGTTCTTTCTTGCTACTGTATGGGTTGTAGGGATCAAACTCAGGTCATCTGGCTTGGCAGCAAATGCCTTTACCTGCTCAGCCATCTCGCTGGCCCAGTGTCCTTTCTTCTTGTATGAGACTATTTCTTATGCATTTCAGGCTGGCCTCAAATATGCTATGTAGCCAGAGATGACCTTGAACCCCTGATCCTCCTACTTACTCCTCTAGAGCGCTAGGATTCCGGATGTATACTACCATGCCCGGGTTAAGCCTCAGATTTTGTAAACTCCCATTCTGAGGTTTTCTGTTACAGTAGCACAACATAAAACTAGACCCCCCAATGTTCATCACAATAGCGCTTATAACACAGTGCCTTTCTTTCCCAAGAAGGTCTGGGGAGGACCATGGGAGGCAAATTGTTTTTGCGCTCTTCAGAACCCAGTCTGGGCTTTGAAAAGTCGTCTGCCTTCCCTGGTGGTGCTTGGCCGAGTCTGAGAATCTTCCAGCTGGGCTGCCTTCCAGGCAGACAAGCAGGATCCAAGTCACTTCTGCTTTTCATTTTAGCACTTGGACCCAGGTGCCTGATGGATTGAGGGCTCTGCAGCTCCCTCCTCCAGGAACTCTGCCTAGCACAGCCGGGGCCTGTACTGTTGTCATTAGGAGGTATAAAATCCTAATTTATATTGCTGGGAGGGTAATTTATACACTAATGTAAATTTCTTTTACTGCTGATTTTTTGAGCAATTGATGTGCGATTATTCCCAGCTCCCTTCCAAGGCAATGCTAAAACCGTGGCTGCTAATACCTTAATATTCTCCGTGATTGCCAGCCATGATATTTTTCCCGGATCAAATGGATCCAGTGGGGTTTGACATAATTGGGTTAAAGCTTTTTTTTTTTTTTTTTTTTTTTTTTTTTTTGCTTTCTGAGGCTTTAGACTTGTTAGGCTGAGCAGGGAGGGGGAGGTGACGGCGAAGGCTTTTCGTTTGAGTTGCACCCTACTGCATTATGGCACTCTGTTCTTTTGTCACGTGTGTGTGTGTGTGTGTGTGTGTGTGTGTGTGTGTGTTGTGTCTCAGTGTGTGAATGTACACATACTATGGCCTGTGAAGTTCCTGGTGATTCTCCCATTCTTCCTGCTCATCTCTCTATAGGGGTGCTGGGACTATGGATGTATGCTCTGCATCTGGCTTTTCTAATGTGGGTTTTAAGGATTGGGTTCAAGTTGTCAGGATTGCACAGCAAGCCTTTTTACCTTCTGAACCTCAGTAGCCTAGAAATATTTTGATTTGTCTCTTGTTTTGACAGAGATGATAGTCATGCTTTAGATAGGACCAGTCTCTCTCTCCCTGCTGGGTCCTAGTCAGCTTGCCCCGTTGGTAATGCCTGTCTGAGGTGACCTCCTTATTTCTCTATCCTTGTATAGTAGATTCTGAAAATCTGAGTATCTGATGTTACCAATGACAGTGACATCAGCTGTCATTCCTCAGGATACCATATATGTTGCTTTAAAAATTATATTTATTTTTTATTTTAAATTATTTATGTATTATTGTATGTGTTTGTGTGTGTGTGCAGGCGTGTGTGTGTGTGTGTGTGTGTGTGTGTGTGTGTGTGTGTGTGTGCCATAGCACACATGCTCATGCAGGAGAACACCTTTGTGGAGCAGGGTCTCTTCTTCTACCTTTATGTGGGTTCTGGGGATGGAGCTCAGATTGCCAGGTTTGTGCAGCAAGCCCCTTTAACAGGTAAGCCATCTCACTGACCCTTCTTCACCTTGTTTTCTGAGACAAGGTCTCTTCTTGAACCTGGATCTCACTAATTAGGCTAGGCTGGCTGGCCAATGAACACAGGGATTCTTTTGTCTCCACTTCCCCAAAAGTGATGACAAGGGTGCATCTCTATGCTTGACTTAAAGAAAAAATATCTGTCTGTCTACCTACCTACCTACCTGTCTGTCTTTCTATTTATATGTATATAAGTGTTTGTGTGTGAGTATATGTAGTTTGTGTGTGCATGTACATACATATAAGTGTGTATGGGTTCTCATTGTTTGCAGTGGCCAGAGAAGGATGTTGAGTGTCCTGCTGTATTAACCTCCACTTTATCTTTTGAGACAGGGTCTCTCACTGAATCTGCAGCTAAGCTGGAAAATTTATAGAGTCTATGATGGCTAATCATGGTTGTCAACTTGATACCCCTGGAAAGAGGGACTCTCGATTGAGGAATTGTTTCCATCGGATTGCATGTTTGTGGGGGAATTTTCTTGATTTCTGGTTGATGTAGGAGGGCCCAGCCCATTGTGGGCCTGGGCTACATGAGAAAAGTAGCTGAGTCTGAGCCAGAGCAAGCAAGTCAGTAAGCAACATCTCTCTGTGGTTTCTTCCATAAGCTCCTGCCATGGCTCCATGATGGACTGTAACCTGTAAACTATAATAAACTTTTGCCTCCCCAAGTTGCTTTTGGTCATGGCATTTATCACAGCAACAAGAAGCAAACTAGAACAGAACCTTAGTGAGTCTCTTGTCTCCATGCTTCCACAGTGTTGGGGTTCCAGGTGCACATAGTCACACCCAACTTCTGTGTAGGTGCTGGAGATTCAAACTCAGGTCCTCCAGCTTTACTGACAGATATCTCTCCCCAGTTCCTGAGTTATGCATTTCTAAAGGACAGAGAGAGTGGACTACTGACACAGGAGATTCACCCTAGATGTTTCCTGGAGTCTGTGGTATGCTTTGATTGTGAACTTGATTGGATTTGAGAGACACCTAGGAGATTTGTAAAGCATACTTCTGGGTATGTCTTCAAGGGCAGTTCCTGGGAGAATTTGGAAAGACCAGTCTTGAATTTGGACAGAAACATTCCACAAAACTACGGGCCTGGGAAGCATAAAAGAGGAAATAGGATGAAACTTACTGGTATAAGCATGCTCTATCTGTTCCTGACCTCTGTGAGATGAGCAGTCTCCATCATGTTCTCCCGCTGTCAGGATGACCCACCTCACCTAACCCTGATGTAATGGAGCCAGCCAACCCCAGACTGAGCCCTCTGAAACCCTGAGCCTAGTTAAACCTTTCCTCCTGCAGGTTGTTTTTAGCCTCTGATATCTGTCATAGTAACGAGAAGTCTGGGAAACAGTCTTCAAGAGGGCTGGAGGCACTTCTAGGCTCAGCTACAAAAGACCCACCAGACCACTCTCAGCTTCATTTTCTCTTAATTAGTTCTAATTTCCCTGTCATCATTATGTACTGACATTGAAAGCCTTCGAGTCCCTGTAAGCAGTTGGCAGTAGCCGGCCTCATTAATCTTGCCCATTCCCGCCTATTGAAATTGCTTCAGAGATGAGGCATGCCTCCCCTCCATCCCTCCCTCATGTATCTCAGTCCTATAATACAAATGTGGCCAAGAGTCTATCAGAACCTCCTCCTGTCCCCTTGCCCAAGGCCTGGCCTGGGACAAAGTGGTTATTGTCTGATGGAAGGCTGGGAGGGCTATGTCTATGTTCTGTGGTACTATGTTCTTGGGGACAGGAATACAGAGTTATCTTGACTTTCCAAGATCCCAGACGGGTCTGTGAGGTCATTTCCTGGAAGGATTAATTGAGAAGATTCTCCCTCAGATTAGGCATCGACTTCTGGTAGCCTAGGTATAAGGAGTACTGAGGGAAAAGCAGGGTTGTGTTGCCTACCTGCCTGTACCTCTCTCTGGTGAGTACTTCTACCCTTTGCTGACATGACACTCTAGCTTCTTCAGCCTTCTGGTGTGGACTGCAGACCAGTAGCTCTTCAGGAGTCCTGGAGTCCTTCAGGGATTGTGTTTCCAACATCTTTTAAAACTTTTATTGTGTTTGAGACAGGCTCTCACGAGCCCAGGCTGACCTTGAACTGGCTGTGTGGATAACGATGACTTTGAACTTCTGATCCTCTTGCTTCTGCCTCCCCGTGCCCATGGCCTCATGCTTCCTGGAGAAACTGGGTTCTGTGGTGATCGTATTGTTATTTTTTCTATGTCTGTGATAAAACACATGACCAAAAGTACCTTCAGAAGGAGGAGTTCTGGCTCATGGTTCAAGAAGAGTAAGAGTCCATCACAGTGGGGAGACATGGCAGAAGCCAGTGCACTGGCAGGAGCAAGAAGGTGAGAGTTTACATCTTTAACTGCAAGTGGGAAGCAGAGAGAACAAACTAGAAGCAGTCTCTCTCCCCCTCCCCCCCATGACATACTTTCTCTAGTAAGGTTGTAAAACCTTACTTACCACCTCCAAACAGTCCCACCAACTGAGACCAAGTGCTCAAATACCCAAGCCTATGGGTGTTAAATTTTTGCTTAAATTAGAAATAAAGAAGAAAAGAGTGCAAGATGAGACATATCACACATATTAATCGGTTTATTATAGGCCTGGCAGAGTAGGGAGACTAAGAGAGAAGAGAAACAGGGTAAATGGCTGACCGCCTTGGTCGGTTGCCATACAGAGGCAGAGAGAGAAGAGAAGCAGAGAGAGAGAGGAGTAGAGAGTGTAGAGAGAGAAATGTAGAGGGAGTGTAAATGGGCAGGGATCTGTCTTTTAAAGGGGCCCTCTGCACCTTCGTGCAGACTTAGTTCCCATGGAACTCTGGGCTGACCAGGGTACTGCCTGTTCCGCCAGGTAACAGGGGCAGGCAGCATAATGCCTGAAGCTTTCAATGGGGCCATTTCTCATTCATACTTCCCTCCATACTTTCCTCCTCCCTTCCCCCTCCCCCTACTCTCTTCCCCACCACATCATTTACTCCTTCCCTCCTCCTCTTCCTTACTCCCCTCCCACTTTCTCCTAACTGTTATCCTCCCCCTCCTCCTCCTCCACCCCTCCTCCTCCTCCTCCACCCCTCCTTTGCTTTTTCTTCTCCTCTTCCAGCTTCCCTCACTGGATGTCCCCTTCAGATGGACAGTTCTTGCTGAGACTAGAGGACAAAACAACCTCCTCTCCTACACAGCCGAATGCTGTCTTTCAGGGTGTGATGGCTATTCTTGCTTGTCAACTTGACTACATCTGGAATGAACTACCCCCCCCCCCCAAAGAATGGCATACCTTTTAGGGACTTGTTTCCTTAATTTGGAGTAGGTAGCTTCACTTCTAATCTGCACCTTTGAGGTAGGAAGACACCTGCCTTTAGTCTGGATCTTGAGTCAGGAAGAAACACCTTTAATCTGGGCCACACCTTCTGGAAGCCTGTATAAGGACATGGAAGCTTTTGCTCTTTGTCTGCTTGCTGCTTTTACCTTGCTAGCAAGTCCAATTCTTTAATGTCATTAGGGTCTACTGCGTTGGGATTCCAGCATATATTGAAGATCAGCTATGACATTCAGTCTTATAAACTGAACAAGTCCTGGATTCTTGGACTTTCTGTTCACATCCAGTTATTGTTGGATTAGTTGGACCACAGCCTATAAGTCATTCTAATAAATCCCTTTCTATATATATAGAGACATTCATTCTAACCCTGACTAATACACAGGGAAACTGATGCTTTTTGTTGGTTGTTAGTTTTTTGATATAAGATCTGGATATGTAACCCAGGCTGACCTAGAACTCCCAATGCTCTTGCTTCACCCCCACTCCTCTGAGTGCTGGGATAATAGGTGTGCACCCTCGTCCTCATCAGATTAGTGTCTCCTTGATTCCTAGGCAACCATCCTGCTTTGTTGGAGATTTTCATAACTCAGGAGACCCAGGCTCTACCTCTGGGAAGGAGAACTCTGTGCTGGGGCTGGGCTGGGTTTAGAGGCATCCATTCCGGAGTCCTTTGCTTGACACTCCTTGCCTCTCTTGCTTCTGGATTCCCCTCCAGCTGCCTTTGGTGGCTCAGCCCAGCTGCTGACAGGGGTGATTACAGCCTGTGAATGATAACATAATTCAGTGCCCCTCAAGGAGAGTCACTATCAGAGAGACTTTTTTTAAGGAGGGGAAAAATATATAATATAGTGGTTGAAAAGGGCTATCTTTCTTCCTAGAAGAACAGTTATTAATCTCTTCCTAGTACATTTTCATATCATTCTAGACATTTATTTCCAGGCTGTGATATTATAAAACCAGGCTTCTGTGTCAGTTTTGAT